CCCCCCCCCCCCCACCAAAAAATAATCGGCATACGTAGACCCCTTTATCTACATGTGAAACCTTCCCCACCTATCTTGCGACACAACTGTACTAGAGTATACCACGTACCATAACTTGTTATAACTTCCGTGCCCTCCCTGATTAACTTCTCCGGCAACACGTGCTTGCTAACGTGGCATAATGCGGCATGCGTCTGCTGACGTACGTACGTACCTGGACAAGTATACATACATACATACATACATGCATACATAAGTACATACATACACACTTGCATACATATACATATACATACATACATACATACATACATACATACATACATACACCCTCACGTACCACCCTGCTCTCCCGGCAAAGATTCTGCATACGTAGATATTTTCTTACCTGCACCCCGACATACATGCGTGCATACATACGTACGTGAAGACACGTGTACGTAAACATAGCTATATAGAAACATACATACATACATACATACATACACATACATACATACATACATGCATACATACCTACATACATACATACATACATACATACCTACACATACCTACATACGTACGTACATACATACATATATACACCTACATGCATGCTGCCGTACATACGTACGTACATATCTGTTCGTATACGTACATACGTACCGAACCCCCCTCCTGCAGAACATTTGGTCACATGCCTGCATACACGCATACGTGCATGCGTACCTACATACGTACTTGCATAGCTCCCTGGGGTAACGTAGTTATGTACTAGCGTACGTACTGGTACCGGTACATAAGCTCGTGCGTTGCCGCCCCGGGGATTCTTATGCCGTTGCTCCGCGAAGCGATGGAGTCTGGGTGGAAGTCATCATGGTTGGCCCGTGGATGTTCTGCGAGAAAGGATGGAGTCTGGGTGGATATTATCATGGTCGCGTGCGATGTCGAAGCTGCAGGAGAGGTTTGTCCCGCAAAGCATCGTAAAATGCAGTATGAACCTGTCTAAGTGCATCGTCACGCTCGGTCGGGAGGCAACCCCAACCCCAGAAAAAGCAAAGGAGTTGCAAACTCGCAGCAGGCAGCATGCTAAGTAAGGGTTTGCAAGTGTTTTGCAATGTCAGCACCGGACATTTAATATGTCCTTGTCGTCTGACTAGTGTTTGTTGTTTAACCTATCAAACTCGCACGTGTCGATCCTGTTCCTTCAACTTGATCACCACCACCTGTGCGGACACAAGAAGTTCAGCATTGACATAGTCTTGTTCGTCGTGATGACATGGACCGTGCTCGTTCGGAGTCATCGAGCATCGGTTCCTGTGGCTACAGCACATGATGAGAGAGCGAGACATCATGCTTTACAACATCTCTTGTCTGTCTGGCGCAGGGAATTAACTGTTGAGAGGGCGAGGAAAACCATAGAAGTGCGGCCGACTTAAAGGAGAAGCTCAGAAGCTTATCTTCAGTTCCATGCCATCTCTCGTGCATTTCTGCAAGGTCAGTCTAGTTAGTTCAATCTGGCTGTTTCGGGTAAAGATACATGCGGATTGACGGGCCGCGCCGTGTGGAGCAGTTCGCAGCATGAAAAACTTGGGAATAGATTGGGGCGCTCCGTAGTGAATAGGACATGCAAGGGCCGCCCATTCTGACGAAGGTGTCTAAAGTCACCGACGTCAGCTGGTGACAGCATTCTCCGCCCACGCAGAAAAAGAGGCGACACCACGGCAACGACGCTTTTGCAACTGGTGCCGAGTCTTCGTCAGGCACGTCGAGTTTCGAGGTTTATGTTGTCTTGGTTGTTCTTTCTGGCTACAACTAGACAACTAGAAAAGAACGCCACGGATGAACGACACCCAACAACGTCAACACCCCTTGCCTTAGTTGTCCTTTCATGGTTGCTCGGGGCATCAGCACGTTTCACGTCATTTGGACGAGTCCCACATCGAAAGTGCTGTTGTTTTGTCGACTTTTTGCCTGGCCGCAGCATCTTGGATTGTGGAAAGGCCGAGTAGATTCATGTGTCCACGTGTTTTGGTGATTCTGATATCCTTATGTCATGGCGGCGAAGGTGTGCAGAATCGATCAGAGCTGGCTGCTCGGTGCGAGGTCTTGCTCGGAGAGGAAACCACTACGACCACCACGATGTGGTTTGCCACACCATCATACAGGCGGACTTTGGAGCTGCACCCGATCCTCCTTGATGCAATCTGGAAGGATGGCAGGACAATGGCAGCAGAATTTCAGTCGTGGTTGCAAGTTCGGGTGATCGGCATTTTTTGTGGAATTGCCATTGGGGTGCCCATTTTGGTGGCTGCTGGGTGCAATTACTCGAAAAGCTTTCGCAGGTGGTTCCTTGGCTTAACATATGCGGGCTCGCAACTGATTCTAATAGCTGGTCCATGGAAGCTGCTCTACTCCAGGTTCGCCTGCTTTGAACAGCTGAGGACATCTTGCTTAGATTCCATCTTTCAGTACCGACTCTGCATTACTGCTCTGGCATTCTTGCTCTTGATAGCACTATTGACATCGGCATTCCTGGGGATGCGAATTGTGGACAGCACACAGCCTCTCATGCAAGATGTGCAGGACGTTGCCATTTACTAAGCGCAGATCCCTCATGAAGTCATCTTATCTTCACTGCTGCAGGACTACTATCTCAGCTCGATGACCGGCAGGTGCCAACTCAGCAAATAGCTTGTGTGGATCACTTGGTTTTCACTGAAACTTCGCAGTTCCTGACTGACAGCTCCTGTCAGCTCGCAGCCCTAAACGGTTGTGTATATAAGATAGGTTCAGGGCTGCAAACTGTTAAGGGAACGTGTGCTTTGTTAGTGCCTACTTGTTATGCAGGCCGCCAGAGTTTGAAGCTGAAATGTGAAGAGGGAGTGCTGTCATGGACACATGCAGGGCCTTAGGTAGAGCATTCACGTTTGGTCGGCGCGCCACCTATTTCCATCTCACAACAGCAAGTGCCGGGGCCAGAAGCTGGGCATCTTGCAGACGTGGCCGCCGGAGTGCCGAAACTGGGGTTGATTTATTCGCTCGCAGCTTCACCGCCCTCGCTGCTCATGTGGCAATTCTTTCGGTTGCGACGCCTTGCGCCCAAGCACTGCGTCCTAGGTCCGCCGGCCGCGCCTAACGACCTTGCGTCACATCGACCCCGCCGGATTGGGCTCGCCTGCATGGCAGGTGTCCGAATTGCCGTGCTGCGGTAGACGTGAGCCCAGGGTCCAGGCCCGTTACTCCCAACTACTCACGCAGTTGTTCACCGCTATGCTCTCCGGACTTTTTCTCGTGCGGACGCGGCCGAACCGCCCAAGCCCTTGCACTTCAGACCGGTGCCAGAACTATCTCCACCTGGACGACATCCGGGTCGCGGATCCGCTCCAACTTCTGTTGGATGCCACTGGCATGCTTTCGGCTGAAGCGCAGAACGCATGGAGGTTACATGCTCCGATCGGTGAGTGATGGCCCGTTGGTTGCTGTCTCCGCCCGTTTAGTCCGTGCTTTCGCGGAGGCCGTTGAGCACGTGTCCCTGGCCTTGTTTGCACCGCCGATTCTGTTCTGGCTTCTCTTGCTGTATTGCGCAAGCCCCCGAGCACAACATGCAGTCCGCACAGTCCCGCCGTCCGTGTCCGGCATTTACGCGGCCGCACTGGTGGGGGTTCTTGAGCTGCGCGCAGCAGCGTGCACAAGCACTTGTGTCCACGCTGCAGGGCGGCCCTTGGCGTGCTCCGGCGCAGCCGGGTATAGCGATGGGCAGCCGACGCTGAGCGAAGTTGTCGAGCTAGCCGGCTACCCGATCCTATGCGCTATATAGACTACCTCTGCTGCCGCTGCGCGCCCCGTAAGTGCATTTGTAGCGGTAGACTGGACCCCCTCAGCGGACTGAAGAAGGCGTGTGAGAATGTGTGAGAAAAGAGAGTGCCCGAAGCAGGATTGGGGGCCATGGCAGGAGGCTGCCTCACCCAAAGAGCTTACCTCCCACCTCCTCCTCCTCCTCCTCCTCCTCCTCTGCCCCGTTTCCGGGAGGGGCTCCGGGCGGCACTCCTTGCCGCTTGCATGAAAGAGCTCCCTTTCGCGGATCCGGGGCATCAGGACACTCGCCAAAGGGCTGTCTTTGGTTCGCGAGAACCCAGGATCTGCCATCGACCGCTTCCTGGTCGAGGCTCGCCAGTGCAAGGAGGGCCGTCGCCTGAGCGTGCTCGGGATCACCCACGTTCAGCGAGTCTATGATGCATCCCAACGTCCACGCCTGTCTGATCGGGCCCGGGTAGCTGTGCAACAGTTGTGCACAAAAACTCCGATGCTCGATCCACACGAGCCGAGCATTGCAACCCTTCTAACCCCGCCCCGCTCTGGGCAAGCATGAAGTCTTCGTTCATCTGAGCTGCTGACTTCTGCGGGTGGCGTGATTAGCAAAGCCTTGAGCCTGCTCCCGCCCAGACTTGATCTCACAGAATCTCCGCTGCCCTCCGCCCTGTCCAGCACCTCCTCCAATTCTGGTCCCCATGCATGTGCTGCAGGATCTCGCTCATCTTTAACACGGCGGCATCCAAAAGGTTTCACACGGCGGCGCCACCGGCCTCGCCTGGGCACGTATGGCACGTCGTCGTCTTCGTCGTCGAGGGGAGATGATCCCGGTCTCGGGGGCTCTGGTGGAAGGCTCGCACTCATGCCTGCACTCAGGGGCTCCAAGCAAATCGGGCCGACAGGAAGCGTCCAACCTTTGCGAATCTTTGCCTTCCTCTTCGGGTGCTTCCTGCGCTCACATCCCCAGTCCCGGCTGTTGGGAGACGGCGTCAGAGGCAGGCAACGGCAGGCGACGCAGCGTGTCTCCTCCGCCCAGAGGTTAATTTGGCAAGCGCGAAAGCGCCGAGCACCGACTCCGGCACGTCAGCATTTGCCAGTTGAGTGGCCACGTGCCTGAACATGTCGAGCGTGTCGCCATCTTTCAGCAGTAAGCGGTAGTGTTCCGCGGCTGCTCCTGAATATTTTTTAACGAACCATATTCGGAATATATAAATATAGTATAAATATATAATATTCCGGACATACCCGGCCGAAACGATGCCAAGTCATCCGGCACAGGTTGGCGTGGTTCCGGCGGCCGCCTCCGCATTACGGAGCATCCCGGCGCGAGGGGAGCACTCATCGATCACGAGGCTGCTTGCCCCTCACCGGTCTGCTCGCCCGGCGAGCCAAGTCGCTGGCATGTCGGGGTCAGAAGGCTCGGTCGTTCCGCAGCAGTTGCTCGCTCGGACGCCTGCCCCTGTGGTGTCGACCCGACGATCGCCGGCGCCTCGACTTCGTAGCTTACAGCCCTACACAGCTCGGCGAGGCGTGTAAACTGGCATGCGATGGCATGCGAAAGGGCGCCCACAACCCTCTTCCACCACCGGGGAAGGCGCTGCCCTTGCCGTCACCGTACGCCGCAAGCGCGAGCTCTTCCGACGTGCGGGCGTTGGAACGATGAGTCGTTTTGACTCATCGTGCCCTGCGACTCCCCTGCTCCGCTCCGGGGAGTTGCCGCGCAGGGCTGGTACAGGCGTGGTGGGGTTTGCTCAGTGTGGGTGTGCAGAATGATGCCATTTTGCTCGGGTCCCTTTCCATCACCGCCCCCATGCTTGGCGCGCAGGAACCGCCCCATCAAGATGTGTCGCACGACCCGTGCCCGCCTGTGCCCAGCTGCTGCCGGCTCGCTGAGCCGCTGCAGCCCACGTCCGTGGTTCGCGAGGACCATGCTTTTTTGTTGGCAGCTCAAAGTTCCACCCGTCCGTGCCTACCTGGCCCTAACTGGTCCTACCGAGGCCAGGGCACTAACGAGGCCCCTGGCGGCTGCCAATCACCGGAAGCTGCCAGCGCACGTCGGCGAGGACCTCGTGCAGCTCGGGCGCCTCTCCGGCGACGTCACACTCGCCAGCGAGTCGGAGCTCCAGCAAGGACTCGGCGATGGCGCGCTGTGCAGCGACCGCAAGCAGCCCTGACCACCGGGCCACCCACGGGGCACGCGCAGCCGCCTGCGTTTCCAAGGTGCGCTGCCCAGCGAGCATCCGGAGCCAGGTGGCAGCCTCAGCGCCAAGCCGGCCTCCGACCTCAACCAAGCGGCAGCGGCGGGCGCGCACCAGCTCGGGGTAGGTGGCGCTTGCGTCGGGCGGCGCCATCAACAGCACGGCCTAGTTTGCTTCGCATCGGCTGGGCTCGGATACATGTCGGCGCGCCTTCTTTGGCGGCACCGAGCTCCACCACCATAGCGCGGCCATCGCCTGAAATCGAAGCCTTATCCCTATGCAGCATGAGCATTTGGCTGAAGCAACAAAAATGTTAGAACGGCTCGCGCCGTTTCTATGGCCACCCTGGCGTGTCGTGGAAGAGAAAGGAACAAAAACACCGCACGTCCGACAGATAAAGTCACCCAGAGAGATGTCCTTGAACGACCGTGAGACACAGTCAGAAGTGAAACCTTAATCATGTACAAAATCGCAGCATGCGAGTACAAGCAAAACAAGCACCAACACACAACAAAAGTACGAGCAAAACATTTATGTACAGATTGTACAGAGTCCTAACTGCCGCTCTCAGTCAAATACTGGATCTGAGATCCACATTCACATCTCACACGCCGACGCGTCACGGCAGATGGTGGCAACAAACGCGACATTGCGCAAGATGTCACGCGCAGTGTTCAAAGCCGGGTCTGTGCTGGAAAGGGTTTCCAAGCTAAGCACATTTGATCTCCGAGTGTGCTGTCGCCACCGGCTGCGTTGTTGGGAATAGGCAGCACAGTCCAAAAGTGCATGAGACAAGGAGTCAGGGCCGTTGGCGCAAAATCGGCATGAGTGAAGTACCGTACTGTTGCGATGACGTGCAGAACGCCCATCCAAGAAGTCGTGATGTCCACAACGTGCTACACCTCAGGATCTGGCAGCCATGGGGCAGGCATACCTATAACGACCCAGATGCGGTCGTGTCTGCCAGCGAGCATAGCACTCCAAGGAATCAGTGCAACGCAAAAGGTTTGAATAAAACAAATTGGAATGGCGAGATACGGCATCGCGTACATGACGCAGCCAAGCTTTTACAACCGTCTGGGGTGTTCCGGCAGTGATGCCCCAATTTGAAGGAGGAGCTACGCCAAGACCAGCAAGCTCAAGCAGCACAGCATTTGCCCAGGACGTCTGCTCTGCACAAGCGCCCCGCGCAATGCGGCCGGCAAGACACGTGCAGGGCAGGGACAACAAGCGAGCCAGCAGACCAGCGGCTTGCAACAAGCGGGACGATGACAAGTCTCGCCAACCTAATTGCCCCTGTGTTGCGGCAATCGGCGCTCCCCGAGGCCACAACAGCAGACGGCGACCCCACTGAAACATGCGTGCATTGCACGCTGCAAGTGCGAGGAATCGGGTACGAGTTCAAGGCCGAAGCAAACCGAAGGTTGAACATATGCGCGGAATAGCCCTTCGAGAAAGTGTAGCGGCAAGTGATCTGTGTGCGAAGCTGTCCAAGAAAGGCAAGCGGCCATCCTACGCTCACCACGTGCCGGGACATGATCGATGTGATGATGCCAATTCAAGTCATCATGAAAAACAATTCCCAGGTACGTGTACGTGCGGACTGAGCTGAAAAGTGGTGTTTTGAACACGGGTACCTCGAGTTCGCGACTCGGGGTCGTTGATCTGGGTTGTATCTCTCGCAACAGGTTGCAGGCCGTAAACAAGTTGGCCCGCGAAGCTCAGGAATCTCGCCAATCCTGCAGCACCCGTAAGAGCCAAGCATGTTCAAGTGCTGTCCCCGGGACACGATCGGCCCGTGGTTGCGCGCCGCCCGCCCGCGTAACGGAGACCAGGGTGGTGTCGACGGCCGCCTGGGCGCCCTGCCACAGGGGCAGTCCATTCGCCAGTACCTCGATGCGGCGGCCATCAGCAAGGGGAACGTCGACGTTCATGTCCCGCAAGAGGACGTTGGTTGCAATTCGTGCACCAGCTTCGCGGCAGACTCATGATCTGTGCACATTGTATGATCAGCTTCCGTGGAGTTTGGCCGATGAAGAAAGGAAGAAAGAAACATGCTGTCGTGATTGGTGGCGAATTCAGTACGCAGTGGAATGTAGGACTTCGCGGTGACATGCTTCGTGAGTTCTCCCATATGTTCGGTTGTTGCGTGGCCAACCTTAGGCAGCTGCCAATTCAACGGGCATCAAACGACAGATCGATTTCATCCGGTTCAGCTCCACATTATGTTCTGGAACCGCTAGAGCAGTAGACGTGGGGCCGGATCATCGTGCAGCCAACTGCAGTTTATGCTTACGAGCATGTTGTTTCAAAAAGTTTCGGAAACCATTGAGTGTGCCCCGTGGTTGGATGCCGTACAAACAATATGATGCCAGTTTGCAGATGCGGTTGTCCAACCAACAACCCAACACCATCACGGAGCTTGAACGTTCGGTGCATTCCGCAGCCATCTCGTTCCATGAAGTGTGAACATTCGAGACTTGCTGAACCGTGACAACATCACGATTTGCAACAACTTTTGCAGAAGAGAACATCATCACGAGATGCGACTGAAAGGCGGCACAGCGGCTCGACCGGGTTGCAAGTATGCGGCTGTCTGGGAAGCTCCTGGCTGCGTAACGGGGCTGACGATGATGGTGGCATCAACAGCTTGCTGCGAGCCGTGCCACAGGGAGAGCGACAATTTCGATGCGGCGGTCATCGGAATCGGCCAGGCGAAGGTTGCGGGGTACCCTTCCTGGCAAAACGGAGGGCCCGAGATGCAAGTACGCCGGGTTAGGTTGCACATGCCGCCCGCCGTGTGGTCGCCGAGTGGGTAAGGGCAACGGCAGGCGCACGAGCGCGGAGGGCAAGCAGAGCCGGCACAGCAGGAGGACACAAAAAAAGCGGCGACGGAACTGTCAAGGCCCGTGCTGCGTGGCGGCCTGCGACAGCAGCAACGCTCGAGATGCAGCATCGGTGCGAAACGGATGCAACTAAGCGAACGTTTTCACTGGCGAAGGTCGCTCGATGCTGCCAACCTTGCGGAAAGCGCCAAACTTGCGGTCTTCGGCACGGGCGGCCAGCTGCAGGGAATCCCAGGCGCCTCGTAGCCCTGCTCGCGCAAGCAGGCTCGCTGCGCTGCTGCCAAAAACACAGCTACTTGAGGAGTCACTGGGGATCAATTCGGTTCAAAACTTGTGCAACAGCGTTATCGAATCGAAAGAGTTCCCAAATATTTACATGAGTTATCATGCAAGCTTATAGCTAAGTCGAATTAGCAGCTTCTGAACGCTACAGCCTCAGCACTCACAGAAAAGTTGCCAGCACTTTCCAAGCAAATCTCCAAAAAAATACGGTTCTTTTTTTTTTCGGCGCACCTTTTTCCGACTGGTCCGCCTGTGCGTCGGCAGAGCTAGCTGCCAGCGACCAGCGACAGGACTCCTACGGCGGCTCCGCCGGGAGCTCTCCGAGCGACAGCTCGGCGCCGTCGCTGGCGTCGCA